GGCAGGAAGCTGGAGCCGGGGAGGTGGCCAACCCTGGCAGAAGGGGACAGAGGGCCGCAAAGGCCTGGACAACCAGGCCTGGGCCCAGGGACCCTGCCAAGAGAAAGCACAGCTGGCCTGCAGCTGCCAGGCAGCCCGAGCAAGAAAGGAGTGCGGCTGGTGGGGTGAGGGCCACCCCTCGGGGAAGGCGGTCCTGCCGCACACAGAGGACAGGCAGGGGGCCAGCCAGGAGCCGCCTCGCCCAGGGACCCTGCCGGCAGAGTGGCACGAGCTATCGACGCACCTCTGAGATGACCCTTCCAGCGACTTCCCGCATCAAGCCCTCCCCCGCCAGAGCCCACGTGGCCCTGGCCGACCCGCCCCTCCTGGACCCGTCTGTGGGCCACGGCTCTCAGCATAGCTTCCAACTCAGGCTTCTTTCTTACCCCAAACTGCCCCCTGGCCAGCTTTCACAGGCCCCTCCAACATCTGCTAACACAACAGTTGCTGCCTGTTCAGAGGCCTGCGCTGGGAGGTGTGGGGCCGCAGTGTGTGGGCAGCTGCGATCAATCAAAGCTCTGTTCCAACCCCCAGACCCCTCCTCACAAGCGTCTCCCTTCTGTCGGAGGCACTGTGAGAAATATAATTTGTTGTTCTTTCAAGATGACCAGCTTGGACTTAAAAAACACGGCAGACCCACCCAGGGCACGGCGTTCAGCGGGTAATCTTTAACTGTTGCTTTTAAAAGGCAACCCCGCTCCCAGATTCTTGCCTGGAGAATCCCATGGACAGAGGAGCCTGGCAGGCCACGGTCAGTGGGGTCGCAGAGAGTCGGACACGACGGAAGCGACTAAGCACGCTTGCGTACGTGGTCCAGGTCTGAGTGGCCACGTGAAGCCCAGGGCTTGCTGGGAGTCAACCAATGCTGGGCGGTCAAACTAGGTTTCAAAAAGAGCTAAGAATCATGTCAGCGAAAGTCCCGCTAATAAACAACTCATGTGTTCAGGCTGGGCCCTGCCCTCCTTGGCACACGCTGCCATTTTGCAAAAGGGAGGCTGAGGCTTCATATAAAACACCAGGCGGAAGGGGGGGGTAGGTAAAGCAGCTCAGGGAGGTCAAGAAAAGGGTCAGACCTGGCTCGGACAAGGCAGGACTGACCCTTGGGCCGCTTCCGAGCGTCTTGCTCTGTGGACCGAGCTGCAATTGCAGTTCCAGGGAGCGAGGGCCTGTCGGGGCCAGGTCCTTGCGTCATCCTCCCCCCAGGGCCTCCTCCCCGCAGTCACCCTCCCCCACTCGGGACCAGCTCCCCTGCCCAAGAGCGGGACATGTAGGTTTTAAGCAGCAGAGACACGTGGATATGTATGGGTGAGTCACCTTGCCGTGCGCAGGAGATGAGCACAGCGCTGTTAATCAGTGAGACTCCAATGCAAAATAAAGAGTGAAAAAAATTATATTCAGAATTTTAAAAAAAGGAGCAGCAAAGACAGTCTGAAAGCAATTGCTAACCCCCCTGTACCCCCCACTGGCCCCCACCGCTGTGGGAGCCAAGCCACCGTTGCCGACAGCTGGACGGCTGTGCCCGGACCCCGGCTGGGCAGGCAGGGCGCCTGGCGGGCTCCCGCAGTCCCCTGCACCCTGGTTCCACGGGTGACAGACGTGAGACGAGGATGCTCACGACGACCCGCCTCCTCAGGCAGGTGGAGATTCGGACTCCGCCCCCATCTCACAACCCCTGGCCCCCCTCTCGGAGTCACTGCAGGCGGAGCGCAGCTGCAGGCCAGGCCTCCCTATTTCCAGAAGCCGAGGATGAGGCAAGAAGAGGAACCGACAAGAAGAAGGGAGTGGCCAGGACGGAAGGTGGGGGTGAAAACAGAAGGAACGAGATGGAAGAATGAAGAGGGGAGTCTGCAGGACATCACCCTCGGGGCCGGTTTCTGCCCCTGGAGATGCCCAGAGCAAGCCCTGGGACCCCCATGACGGTGGTCAGCATCCGTTAGCTCCCCGGGGTGGGGGGGTGCCGGAGCACAGGTGATGGACGTGTAGATGGAGACACATACGTGTGTCAACAGATAATCAGAAACACACAGACCTTTATACACAGACCTCCATGCATAAACTACACACAAACATATACGCGGACACATCTACTCAACACACATACACACACACACACATGCGCACACAGGTGATTTCCTGTCCCTCCCAGCAGTCCTACGTTGATGGTGGGGGGTCAGCATGGTATTTATTTGCTATACAGAAATGTGAAGCGCTTTTCCCGGGGCCGCCAGCCTCCTGCCCCATCTGTGACACTGTCTGATTTGTCACTGTCTGCCCCCCCCCCCCCCCCCCAGTGAGGACCTAAAGGTGAACATCACACTCCAGAAGGGCCTGTTTCCAGGGGGGCCTGGGAGGGTCCTGGCCCGAGATCACACCTACCCTCACGCCCTAGGCTTCCAGCTGAGAGCCTGCCCCTCGGAGTGGGGCCCACCCAACAGCTCCCTGGCTCCCTGTGGGCACAAGGCAGCCCCGGGCCTCAGAGCGTTTGGTCTCTCCACCCGCCTGCCTCTCTCGGGGTCTCTCCCTGGTCCTTCTTCCACCAGCAGCCTGGAAAGGCTACAGGGTGCCCCTGGGGGCTTACACACAGACCCCTGGGGAAGTCCCAGCCCCGGTCAGTGCTGCTGGGGGGGCCATGGCTTCTCAGAGCTGCCCGTCATCCCAGAGATTCCGACCGAAGCGCATTCGCTTTGCACCTGTAGACCGAGTCTCTCAGGCTCCTGGGCCCAGAGCCCACATACATAGGGGCTCCTGGAGGACGGTGCTCACCTGGAATCCCTCCCGCCAGGCAGACGAACGTACAAGCCAAGATCCAAAGGCCCACAAGAGGGTCTGAGGTCCAGTGGAGGGAACGACAGCAGGACATGCCGACCCTTGGCACAGGACGCCCTCCCCACCACCACGCAGACCTGCTCACACCCCGGGGGCTACTGGTGCGGGGAAGCCCACGCAGAGGACAGGGTCTGGGGGCAGGAAGGCCCCCAGGGTACAGGACACTGGGTCCTACAGGCTCCAGACTGCATCCAAGGCTCTTCAGATGCACAGAGGTGGCTGTCTGAGGCTGGGCCTGGCTTTTTGAGGCTCCCGGAGGAGCAAAGCCCATTTTCCAGGGCCACAAATCATCTGGTGGGGGAGTCACAGCAGGCGCCGCCCCATGGGAAGAGGGCCGGCTGGGTCCAGGGGCTTGGCGGGGGGCGGCTCGGGCCCAGCCGTCTCCAGGCCTCTGGCCGCAGCCCTTAGGCCCACATGCCTCCCAGGGGCCCCTTCTCTGCTCTCCCCGGACTCTGCCCTCCCCAGGCCTTGGCTGGGGAAAGACAGGAGGACAGAGGGCAGCCTCCTCAGGATCTTGGAGGCCTGCCTGGAGCCGATGAAGCAATCTATACATCTGGGCACGGCCCCACTGAGCAATGTATTTTTAAACGGTTTTACCCAAGTGAGGGCGGGAAATGTCTCCAACGATGCCCGTGGTGTTATTCCAACTTGTGGCCAGTAAAATATAATAATACGTGTATATTGTTTTTATTACCTATCTAGCTTATTAGCTAATAAAATAAGCTCAGCATTAAAAATTTTAACTGAAGCTGTTTTATCGCACCCAGAACTCATGGCTCTGGATTTTCTTCAGAAGTTTTCTTTGCCCAAATCTGTCACCTTTCCAGCATTTTTACCTATTTACGTTTCTCCAGGAAGGAAAATTCCACTTGCCTGTCCAACCTGAACAAACGTGTTAGACCGCTGATCAGCTCGGACACACCTGGAGCGGCGATAGGGAGGAAGGGAAATGGCGATGGGAGGGCTGGGGCAGGGGTCCCGCCGGGTCCTCCCCTCGGGTCTTCCCCAAGCGATCCTCATGGGCGCAGAGAAAGGGGGGCACTGCCCGCTGATCCAGAGCCAGGGCCTGGGCTCTCAGACAAAGGTGGCCAGAAAGACTGGACCTGGGGGCCAGGTGGGGGCTCTGGATCAGAGATACCTGCCTCTCTTCTTTTTTGCGGGGGGTGGGGATCTGTAGGTTGGGACGGAGGACTAAGGGAGAGAGGGGGAAACGCCATCAGCAGAAGCTGCATTTTTCATTCTCAGCTGAAAGGAGGCCTGGTGAAAAGGCAGCGCTGGCCACTGAAGGAAGGCAGTGAGGCCCGCCTGGAAAGGTGTGGACACGTCAAGCCTGCCCGTCTGGACGTGGCCACATGCTCACGAGCAAGGCCAACCTCTCACCACCAAGCTGGTCTCCATTCCCTCAAGCCCAGCCACAACTGATGCTCACATAATAAGACTAGAAAAGATGAGGCTCCGACCGTGGCTATGAGCAACCCCTGGACACAGAACCCACCGTACGCATCTGTCCTTGAGGGGCCAGCCCTGCTCCTGGGCCTCACCCTCACACTCTGACCCTTGGGACTCCCCAGTGAGGACCGACGCAGGCAGCTCTCAGGCTTGGAGACTGTTCTGATGATGGCGTATTAACTCCAAGTTCACTCACTCAAACCAACACCCAAGACCAAGCATGAGGGTGGCCAGGGCTCTGAGACACAGAGGATGACGCACAAGCGACAGGATGCGTGGCCAGAGGCCGCACCTACAGGGACAGCGAGGACGATCGCCAGTTCTGGCTGGACGCACGCTTTCAGCAGCTCAGTCACAAGAGTGCGTGCCTCCCCTGTTCTCTCGTCCTCTGAAACCGTCACTCACGGCCCTGACCTCGGGATCAGCATGATCTGAGTGATACTCAACCCCTGCCTGTGCGGGCAGTTCCTACGGCAGCTGTGGGGACGGGGGCTCCTGGGGGAGGCCCCTGAGAAGGGCCAGGAGGGCCAGGAGTACCCCCAGCGTCTGTGAGCCTGCGCCTGCCTCTTCCCAGCTCTCTGCTCCTGCACCACTAGCACTGCTAGTGCCGGCAGAGAGCGTTTCTGCTTTGACATGAAGATGGCTTTAAAAGGGAGGTTTGATTTCATCTTTCATCGCATCAGATTTTAAGAACAAGCGAATGAACCCGCTTTCTGGCCCTCTTCAACGCGGGCACCCTGCCCTTGCCCGGGCTGGACCGGGAGCCGAGGAGGCTCCGAGACGCCCCTGGCGGCTTCTGCAGTGCCTCCCCGGGGCGGGTGCATGGGGAGGGGAGCTCTTACCTGTGCCATCTTGGCAAGGTCCAGGGAGGGCCTCTGCTCCTGCGCCTCCTCGGGGCGCCGCCGCTTGATGCCCACCTTCTTGTCATTAAGGACGCAGGGCTGGGAGCGGCTGCGGGCCAGCCCCCCCGAGCGCCTGGCCGGCTCCGGCGTCGAGGCTGGGGTGCTGCTGGCTGAGGGCGGGCAGTATTCCGCGAAGGAGAACTGCTCATGCGAGCAGGACAGGGAGCGCTGCATGTCCAGCCGGCCGCTGCCCACGGGGCTCACCACGGGGCCCCAGAGGTCGCCCGCCTGTCCGCAGGTAGCCGGGCCTGGTGCCCCCGGGCCAGGCGGGCCGCCAGGCCGTGGGTGAAGTCCCGCCGGGTCGTAGGGCGAGGAGAGCGCATTGGCGCGGGACGGGAGGCTGAAGCTGGAGCTCCGCTGCATCGTGCTGAACCCGTTGGAATAGCGCTGCACGCTGCCCCCGCTGTAGCAGCGCCTCTTCTCCACCGGTGTCCAGACTTTGGACCCCAGGGGCCTCCACGACGTCCGGCAGCTGGCCATCTCGTCCGAGAAGGACAGTGACCGGCACTGGCGCTTGCTGGGGGGCGCGGACGGGTGCCCGTTGTGGTCGCTGAGGCTGAGGTCTTTGATCAGGTTGGTGACTGCGCAGGCGGTGGCCGCCTCCCGGTGCCACAGGGCGCTGTCCTGGCACTTGTCCGGCAGGCACTCCCAGATGCTGGCGCTCGGCTGGTCAATCTGAAGGGGGCACTTCCTGTCCAGGTCTCGCCATCTGTCATTTTCTGGTTCGGAAATGACAAAAAAGAAAAGAGAGAGAGAGAAACGGGGCTTTGAGAAGGGCCTTTGCACCGGTCCTCTCTCACCTCACCGAGAACCTGTTTTAAACAGGAGGTAGAGATAGGCCCTTAAAAAAGCCATCCAGTCCAGCCTCGCTTTACAGATGAGAAGCTCAGGCTCAGAGGGACGGACATGAGTCCCGAGGTGCTGAGTCAAAAGCGGGGCAGCCCCAGGATTCCTGACATGCTTTTCTTTCCAACATATCGCACTGCCTCCTGCGCTAAGTCACTTCAGTCGGCGGCCGACTCTTTGCCGCCCCATGGACCCATAGCCTGCCAGGCTCCTCTGTCCCTGGGATTCTCCAGGCAAGGATACAGAGGAGCGTTGCCATGCCCTCCTCCAGGGGGTCTTCCCAACCCAGGGATCGAACCCACGTCTCCTGCGGCTCCTGCATTGCAGGCAGATTCTTTACCGCTGAGCCAGGGAAGCCCCAGGCTCCCAGGACAGCCTGAAGCACTACTCTTCACCCCAAAGGCCTCTCATCGTCTAGAAGGGAAACCAACTTGCCCGGCCCCTGCCCTGGCCAGCAGCAGAGCAGGGATAACGTTGCCTGCTACGTCCTGTCCCAGGGTTCTCTGCTCCGGGGCTGGGACTCGACGGCCTGGGGGAAGACCATGACCAAAGCTGAGGCTGTTGGGACCCCCAGAGTGGCTGGTGGCTGGAGGTACTGCCAGGTTAGTTGATGTGAGCTCCATCTTTAAAATCAAGGCAGACGATAGAAACGGGATATTTATTGATTTACATCCCCTCCACGAAAATGCCCCACAGCCAACCACAACAACAGCTGCCAATCACTGAGGACTCTGCCAGTGTTCACTTGCTAAAATCCAGGACAAGGTTACTAAAGTCCATAGAAGCAAGTTTTGGGGTGCAGAGAGACCTAAGTGTACAATTTAAACCTACATGTTGGGTCTCTCCTTGAACACATGGACAAACAAGCCAACCCTGCTAGGAACTATGGAATCAGGCCCTGTGCTGAGAATTTGAGGAGCTCGAAGACAAATCTGACATAGTTCTCGTATTCAGGCTAACAATACAAAAGCAGAGTTAAGAAATATGCTGTGCTGCTGGGAATCAACGTGTTAACATGTTTCTGTTTTTCTCTAATCTCCACATCTTCATAAACTCTGCAAAGGTGAACACAGAGAAAAGTATGGTTTGAGTCAGTCAATCGGTAGAAGAAGTAAAACCTGAAATGACAGTCAGCAGGTATTTCACGCACGCCGATTCTCAGCACTGCAATCAACTACTGTGCAAACCCCGTGGGTGGTGGGTGTAACCAGCGATGGCTACCATCGCTGTCCAGTTGGGGGCACCCAGGCTTGGGGAGGGGGGGTAAGTGGCCCCAAAGCCACAGCTAACAGGTGAAGAGATGCACACTCAGGCTGGCCCGACCCAAAGCCCTCTGCCCTCTTCACTGCACAGTGGCACTGAGGCACCCGCAGGGAATCCCACCTCGGCCCTGCCCTCAAGGAGTCTACCAGTCGTGCAAGATCAGCCACCGCTCAGGAAACTGTGACATCACCTACAGGAGTGCAGCAAGGACTGGAGGACCGTCTCCTCAAAGGGCCCGAGAGACGCACCCGAGGCAGGGACTGAGCCCACGTTGAATGTCACGACCAGCAGCTGCTTGTTGGGGAAGCATCACGAGCCGGGGAAAAGCCAAAGGGGTTCAGTGTGTGCTCTTTCCTTGAGAACCCCTTATGCAGCCACAGGACTCAGAGCCTGAGGGGCTGGGACCCAGGGCAGGGGACATGCATAAGTTGTCCAGAGGCTATTCCCATGTGTGGGAGGGGCCATGGTGCTTAGAAGTTAGAGATGCAGGAGAGAGACCTGCCTAGTCAGACCAACTGGGAACAAAGCAGGACCGATGCTAACTGTCCAATTCATCTCACCTCTGAAGTCTGCCTGGACCCTGGTGCATGACCAGTCTCGATACATGTTACTTTAAACCAAGTTGACAGAGCATTACCAAAATTTACCTTTTTGCAAATAGCATTTACTTTGTTCCAAATGGGCTTCCCAGGTGGTGCTAGTGGTAAAGAACCCGCATGACAATGCAGGAGACATAAAGAGAAATAGGTTCGATCCCTGGGTCAGAAAGATCCCCTGGAGAAGGAAATGGCAACCCACTCCAGTATTCTTGCCTAGAGAATTCCTTGGACAAAGGAGTCTGGAGGGCTGTAGATCACAGGGTCGCAAAGAGTCGGACACAACTGAAGCAACTTAGCATGCATGCATTATTCAAAATAGGTCTTCATTATACACTATTCCTCAAGTAGTCACCATTCTTTTAAAAAAAAGTTCAATTTGGCATTTATCAACAGTTTAAAGTTCAGTAAACTAGTAGTAAAATTTTAAAAAAAGTACAAACATTGACTGAGTCACAATCATCCCTGATTGAGAAGAAGAAAACTTTTCCTCCAAAAAAGAGTGGCGATTTCTATGATGATGTTCTTCAAAATGACACGCTGCTGCTGCTGCTAAGTCGCTTCAGTCGTGTCCAACTCTGTGCGACCCCATAGACGGCAGCCCACCAGGCTCCCCCGTCCCTGGGATTCTTCAGGCAAGAGCACTGGAGTGGGCTGCCATTTCCTTCTCCAATGCATGAAAGTGAAAAGTGAAAGTGAAGTCGCTCAGTCGTGTCCGACTTTTCGCAACCCCAGGGACTGCAGACTATCAGGCTCCTCCGTCCATGGGATTTTCCAGGCAAGAGCACTGGAGTGGGGTGCCATTGCCTTCTCCGCAAAATTACATGAGTGATAGTAAAATGATAAACACAACTAAAAAGGTCTTATGGGGGAGAGGGATGGTTAAATAAAGCATCAAGGAATAACATGGAACGTGAAAAAAGCGGTTTCAAAGAATATTAATGATGTGGGGAAATGTTAATGATGTAATACTAAACATAAAGAAAGAGGACATAAAACCATAGAGATAGCATGACTCCTCTTTAGTAAAACACATACGTTATGCGGGAAGATAAAAAGGAAAACATGCCAACACGTTCACAGTCAATTGGCAGAGAGCTGGTTGATTTTTCTCCTTTTCGTTTCTTGGAGTTTCTACATTTTCTGTGAGGACAAATACGTGGAGGGCCGGGGCCTAGGACCCCCATCCTCCTTTGGGTTCGTTCCTTCAGTCTTTCAGGAAGTCCTCACCGAACAATGCTTGCCACGGACTTCTCTTTCGGGACAAGGCAGCGAGGTGCCAGGCGGGCCAGTGGCCGGCTAAGGAGGGAAGCGAGGAGCCGACCAAGGGTGGTGAAGACTCCAAGATGGCGCCACCATGGCCTCAACTTGAGGAGCCAGGAGCCCACAAGAGACGGTCTCTCACACAGGCCCTGGGAGACCCGGGAAGTCAAGGAGAGGGATTCTGTCCTCAGAAGACACCACGTTCTGCTCCCCTTTCACTTCACCAGCCTGAAATTTCCCATCTCTGGGAAACCATGAGAGAAGGGGAAGGCAGAGGAGCCAGCTAGGCGTGGACAGCCGGTCTCTCTCGCTCATCGGGGCCCTCGGCTCTGCAGGGACCGCCTGTGATCTCGCTGCTTCCTGGACCCCGGGGCCTCCCGAGTCCAGTCCCATCTCCTCTCTCTCTCTCTCCAGAGAGCTCTCTGAGGCCCACACGTGTTCACGGTCCATCCCCTGCAGCGGCTTCCCGTGGCAAACACCCCAGCCTGGCGTCCAGGCTCCGTCAGCGTGTGTTCTCCCCAGGAGGCCCGCACTGCAGGCGCCAAACCTCCCATGACGGCACAAGTCAGACAGGAATCAGGGAGACCAAGGCATTCCTTGAAAATCCCTCAAACAGCCCTTGAGGCCCACTCCTCCTGGTTTCATGTCCACAGCCCTGAAGAGCCCATAAAACTACAGCTTAAAGATCTGTCCTGGGTGTTCATTGGAAGGACTGATGTTGAAGCATTGAAACTCCAATATTTTGGCCACTTGATGCGAAGAGCTGACTCATTTGAAAAGACCCTGATGCTGGGAAAGACTGAGGGCAGGAGGAAAAGGGGACAACAGAGGATGAGATGGTTGGATGGCATCACCAACTCAATGGACATGGGTTTGGGTGGACTCCGGGAGTTGGTGATGGACAGGGAGGCCTGGCGTGCTGCGGTTCATGGGGTTGCAAAGAGCCGGACAGGACTGAGCAACTGAACTGAACTGAATAGAGCGATTGCAGGAATGAGCGCAACTAACGTCTATGTACAGAGGGGTATGCACATGATTTTTGTGGTTGTCGCTGTTTTGTTATTTATCTTTGGCTGTGCTGGGTCTTCACTGAGGTGTGCAGGCTCAGCAATCGTGGTGCATGGGGCTCAGCTGCCCCGCGGCATGTGGGATCGTAGTTCCCTGACCAGGGATCGAACCCGTGTCCCCTGCATTGGAAGGCAGACTCCTAACCACTGGACCACCAGGGAAGTCCCCCATATGATTTGTTTTGAATTTAACTCTCAAATCCCCAGTGGGAACTGGCGTTGGGTGGTTAATTCAAACACGTTCCTACCACCCCCCCCCCCACAGGAACTACTCCTGTTTTAAACAGTAAGCCTCTATAGGACCTTAACACATAAAATGTCTCTTGTAGGGAGGATTCACAGAATCAGTTCTCAGATCAGTCCACTGGTGAAATGTGGGTGCCACGTGACCACCATGGATCTGCAGCTCCTCCTCCAAGGAGGGAGGAGACCCAGGATGTTATTCTCCTGCCTGTATCCTCCCACCAGCCTCTTACTCCCCATGGTAGAGCCAACTCAAACATTGCCTCCTCTGCAGTCCACCCCTTCCCACACAAGCCTATGGGCACCCGCATCGCCTTGCCTAAACTTTCAGTCACGGGTCTCGCGGCAACTGAACCTCAGTTATCTGTTTACGTGTCTGTTTCATCTGCTGAGCTACAAGTTCCAGAGGGCGGTCCCCGCCTGACGTTCCCGCGCCCAGCA